CTGGCAACCCTGTCTGCACGTCTCGCGCGCGCGTGAACAGGGCTCCAGGCCCCAAATTACGTGTGAGTGTTAGAGTTGTTTGGTATTGCTAAAAATCTCTTGGTATTGTTGTCCAGCCGGCCTAACGTTAACTATTGTCGTTGGCGGATCCCACTGTTGCTCTGTTGTTACTGTTAACACTACTCACTAGCAACACTGTTCAGCTCTTAAACGTTTGACAGCTCTAGTCGAGCACACAAGTGACTCAAGTCTCAAGTGTCAGTGATGGCCATTTACTGGTAAAAGAGTGGTATTGACCACTTATTTGGTTCTCCTGGGGAGTGGTATGGTATGAGCAGAGAGTGGTCTGGTAAATTACGAAACTCCGTGGCACAACGTGTACAATTGTACCGACGAAAGAAACACGGGGCGTAATAAACACCATATGTAAAATAATCTCCCGAGCCCGCGCCCTCAGTTCCATTACTGCTGCCCGACGAGGTCAAAGTAGACGCCGCCGGGGCCAATCTGCAGCAGCTCGTCGTGGGTCCCCTGCTCGACAACCTTGCCGCGCCTCACCACGGCGATCTTGTCGGCGTTGCGGATGGTCGAGAGCCGGTGCGCGATCGTGATGGTCGTGCGCTTCTGCTTGGCCATGAGCTCGTCGAGCGCCGCCTGCACGATGCGCTCGCTCTCGTTGTCGAGCGCGCTCGTCGCCTCGTCGAGCAGCATGATGGCGGGCTTTCGCACCAGCGCGCGCGCAATGGCGACGCGCTGCTTCTGCCCCCCGGAGAGCTGCCCGCCGCGCAGCCCCACTTGGGTGGCGTAGCCGTCGCCGAGGTCGTTCGTGATGAAGGTGTGCGCGTTGGCCGCGACCGCCGCCTCCTCGATCTCGCTCTGCGTGGCGCCCTCCTTGCCGTAGCCGATGTTCTCGGCCACCGTGCCCTCAAACAGCACGGGCTCCTGCCCCACCATCCCAATCTGCTGGCGGAGCCACCGCAGGTTGAGGCTGCGGATGTCTGCGCCATCGAGCAGCACGGCGCCCGCCTGCGGGTCGTAGAAGCGCTGCAGCAGCGCGACGATCGTGCTCTTGCCAGAGCCGCTCGGGCCGCACAGCGCGACCGTCTGCCCCGCGTCAATCTCGAGGGAGTAGCCGCGGCAGGCAGGCCGGTCGAGAGCCGTCGGATAGGCAAACACGACGTCGCGGACCGAGATCTCGCCACGCACAGCCGGCAGCCGCGCGCCCTCGGCCGAGATGGGGTCGATCAGCGACACCTGGTCGAAACGTTGGAAGAGCTCCTTGGCGGCCTTGGCCGCGGCCTTTGCGTCGGTGGCCATGATGGCGTGGCTCGAGGCCAGGAAGGAGGCCATTATCGTCGCGATGATTGGCACCATGATCTTGTCCATGATGCGGCGCATCGACGAGCTCCTGTCGCAGCCGGCCTCGGCCGCACCGAGCGCCCCGACCGACGCGAGCCACAGCCCGTAGAAGATCTGGGCGCCCATCATCGAGTAGACGATGGCGAAGGCAAGGAAGAGGCCCACGCCCGCCTGCACCGCCTTGCGCTTCCCGACCGCGAGCAGCTTGTCCATCTGCTTGCAGTAGTCCTCGTAGAACTTGACCTCGGCGTTGAAGGAGGCGACGGTCCGGATCCCGAGCACCACCTCGCCAATCACCGCGCCCGCCGACTTCTTGACCTCGTTGTCGTTGTCCTTGCTCGCCTGCTTTGCCTGGTCCATCGGCATGGCCGCCTGCATCGCGATGCCCATGGTGACGCCCATGATCGGAAGGCAGCCGAGCGTGACCAGCGCGACGCGCCAGTCGCCCCAGTAAAACATGGTGAAGAGCATCGTGCCGATCGAGAAGAGGAACTTTGCGATTGCGCCGAGCTGCTCGCCGACGAGCCCCTGCACGAGGGCCACCCTCTCGCCCAGGAACTCGGTCAGCGCGCCCATCGTGTTGGCCTCGTAGTCGAAGTAGCCGACCTCCATCCGCAGCAGCTTGGCCATCAGCGTGGTGCGCAGCGCCGTCGTCAAGTGCTCGCCGGTGATGCCGAGGGTCGTCCTTGAGATGAACTCGACGGCGTGCTGCCCGAGGCCGACGCCGATGAATATGAGGCCCCACAGCACGCCCTCCGACTCGACCTTGTCGGGCGACGGGTAGCTCAGCGCCGTGAGCGAGCGGACGATGAGCAAGCCGAGGAAGCCCTGCACGATGCCCGTGACCGCGGCGCACGGCACGCCGATGACGTAGAGGTAGCGGTCGCTCTTTGGCGACATTTGGAGCAGCCGCCGCACCGGCCCCTGCTTCTTCTGGCCCGCCGCTGCGGCCGCAGCCTCCTCCTCCGCCGTCTCGACCGCCGCCTCGACGATGCCGAGCGACGCCCCGATCGAGCTCGTCTGGTGCAGCGCCTTGAGCCCCTCCACCAACTCCGCGTGGCGTACGCTGACGGAGCCCTCCACCTGCGAGGCCTTCGCCGCCACGCGCATCACCTCGACGTCCTTGGCCTGGTTCGCCTGCTGCTTGGCGGCGAGGCCGTGGAAGACGCCGCCCTCCCCGACGGCGAGCAGGTCGTCGTACGTCCCCTCCTCCACGATGACGCCCTTCTGGACGACGGCGATCTTGTCGCAGTGCTTGATCGTCGTCAGCCGGTGCGCCACCGTGACCGACGTGAAGTGGCTCTTCTTCATGATGTCGTCGAGCGACGCCTGCACGATGCGCTCGCTCGCGTTGTCGAGCGCCGACGTCGCCTCGTCGAGCAGCAGGATCGCCGGCTGCTTGATGACGGCGCGCGCGATGGCGATGCGCTGCTTCTGGCCGCCCGACAGCTTGCCGCCGCCCAGGCCCACCTGGGTGTCGTAGCCGTCGCCGAGGCTCTCGACGATGAAGTCGTGCGCGTTCGCCGCGCGCGCCGCGGCCTCCACCTCCTCGCGGGTCGCCTTGTCCTTGCCGAGCGCGATGTTCTCCGCGATGGTGCCCATGAAGAGCATCGGCTCCTGCCCGACCAGCCCGATCTGCCGGCGCAGCGCCTTGACGTTCATCGCCCTGAGGTCGACGCCGTCGATGAGCACCGACCCCGAGAGCGGGTCATAGTACCGCTCGAGCAGCTGGATGAGCGTCGACTTGCCCGCACCCGACGGGCCGACCAGCGCGCACGAGGTGCCCGCCGGGATGCTCAGCGAGTACCCGTTGCAGATGAGGTGGTGGGGCGCGGTGGGGTAGGCGAAGGTGACGTCCTTCACCTCGATGGCGCCCCTGAGCTCGACCGCGAGGCCCTCCTCCGAGAAGGCGTCGATCGTCGGCACGCGCGCCACCACCTCGAGCACGCTGCGGCACGCCGTGACGCCCTTGATCAGCGCCTGCACGGGCCCCGCCAGCAGCGAGAGGTCCGTGGCGCCCTTGATGACGGCCTGCGTGGCGATGTAGATGGCGCCGAGCCCCAGCGCGCACTCGACGCTCCTGCGGCGGCGGGGCGGGAGCATGCGGCGAGGGCGGTGGCGAGGGCGACGGCAGGGGCGGCGGGTGTGACGCTCCTGTCGTAGCTGCTGGGCGGGAAGAGCTCGTCGTAGCTGCTGTCGGGTGTGTCGCCGTCCACGAACTGGTTCCAGAACAGCGTCTCGTCGCCAAAGAACCGAGTGAACGCGCGCTCTCCGATGACCTGCGCCGCCGTGCTGCAAGTGAACTTGAAGTTCTCGAGGGCCTCGCCAGTAGTCGCGCTCGTGCGGAGTGCGCACGCGGCACCAACGCCGTCAGCCTGATCTGGCTGGGTGGTGTCGACGAGGAACAAGTCGTACGAGTCGCAGCTCTCGGCGCAGTAGTTCCTCGTGTCACCCAGCAAGTCGGTGTAGTCCACCGTGGTGTCACGGTACTCGGAGACGAGCAGCTGGCACGCCAGCAGAATCCCAGAGGCCACCACGTAGTAGAGGGACGCGTTCATCGTGGAGATGGCGGCAAAGATCTTGGTCGAGAGGCGGATGGCGGCGCGCTCGGCGTTGGCGAGGTTGGCGTCGTACCGCTGCAGAGACCTCTCCTCGAGGCCGAGCGACGCGACCGTGCGGATCGACGAGAGCACCTCGGAGGCGACGCCGCCGGCGCCTGCGTACGCGTCGGCCAGGAGCTTGGTGCGCTGCTCGAGGTAGTAGAGGAGCAGCGAGACGGAAGGCAGGTAGGCGACGATGGCCACAGCGAGCGTGACGAGGGCGACAGCCCACGACTCGCGCAGCGAGACGTAAAGCCCCACGGTGATGGACCCGATGGTGGTGAAGATGTTGGCGTTGGACAGGTGAAGCGCCTTCTCGATGTGGACGATGGACTCGCCCATGCGCGTCGAGAGCTCCTGCGGCTGGTTGACGTCATACCAGCCGGCGTCCTGCCGGAGGATCGACTTTAGGTACTCCTTCTTCCAACGCGTGATCTGACGGTTCTTGGAATAGTCGAGCAGCAGCGCCGCGATGCCTTGGCAACCGCCAATACCCAGACCCCAGTACGTCATGTCGACGAGGAGCATGATCCCAAAGTCGTAGTAGTTTGTGGTCGAGTTCAAGTCGTAGAAGTCAGCCAACCTCACCAGAAAGAGCACCTGCAGTGCTCCGAAGCCGACCATAAAGGCGCAGCCGGCGACGATTAAGAAGGCATCGAATCGAGTAGCAAAGAAGAAGAGCGAACGGAGGAAGGAGCGGCGGCGCTGCTGAGGCGGGTCGTCTGGCGACTGCCTCGAAGGCGTCTTGCGGCTCGGCTCCGCAGAAGACCAGCGCATAGGAGGTGAGACGGGAGTGCAGGCAGAGAGGCGTGCTCAGGTGAGGATGGTGGACGCGGCTTTGGGAAGCTGTCGGTCCGAAAGGATGTCGGCAAAGCGTCTCGAACCGCGGGTTTTTTATAATTTTTTGTTTTCAAGACTCAAAATGTAAAACCAATTGAAGAGAGGAAGGATCCGGCCCAAAAGTTTCTCGTTTTTCACTGCCGCCGCGCCGCCATCAATGCAGAACATCGAGCTCGGAGAGTCGTCCGGCGGACAGCATCGATGCCGTCGCCGGACGCGGCGGCGAGGCACACGGGCGCCGGCGTGGCGCGTCGGCAGGCCCACCACGAGCGGATGCGCGACGAGCGCGCTCGGGAAGCGGCCGCGGGCGACGCGGAGCTTCCGCCGGAGGACGACGCGGTCGAGATGGCGAGCGCCGTCCACGTGCTGGACAGCGTGGCGGAGGTGGGCCCGAACTACACCCTGCTGCGCAGCAAGGAGACGAAGGCGAAGCGGCGGAAGCGAAAGCGCGAGGATGCCAGGGCGGCGCTCGACGGCCACTCTGTCCTGTCCACCGGATCGCGGGAGGAGGACGGGGACGGACGGATCGTGCACGAGGTCGAGTACGACGGCTAATCGGGTCGGCGGTGGTGGCATGCTGGACGACGTACAAATCCACTCTCTCTCCATTTCAACAACAAAATAATGTAGTCATTAGCACGAGCCACTGAGACACGCTCACACTTTGTGTAGGGAGGGGTGGAAGTACCTGTCACAATGGGAAACCCTCGTTTCCTATGAACTCGGTCCCCCAACGGAAGAGGCCTCGCTCCTATTGGAACTGGCCAACATCAGATTTGCCTCGTGCGTCCCTTTTTGAGTCGGAAAGCTATTTTCTTTTGGGTCCTGTCAGGCTCCTGTGGGCACCCTACCTGGGAAACCCCGGGCATACCTGGAAAATACCGGGTATTTTGCCGATTTCTCCGATTTTGTCAGATTTTGCCTCAGAAGTCGTGGTAAATCTTACCACCAGTTGATTGTTTTGGCCGTAGAGACTAGAGTGTTTGATTGTTCTGGGGGGCTATACCAGTAATCACTAATCTGGCCAGCACTCTGACCACTTTGTCCCAACAACCCAAGAGTCGCAAGTGAGCAAACATGAAACAACCTCTGTGTGGCGGTCTGAAAAAGCCAAACCGCAAACGCCTGCGCCGGTTGCGCGGCACCGCAAAAAATGGAGCTCACCGAAAACACCCGCACGGCACCCCCGCGGCGAGACCGCACACCCCCACCCCCACCCGAGACATGAAATCACGCACAACACGACGCAAGCAGCGATGGCCACGCACGGCACCGCCGCCGCTACTGTACACAAGCTCAAGCATGGCGCCGAGCGCGGCGCGCGGCGCCAGCGCGCTACTTTCCCTGCTCCACCATCGCGAGCCACTTTGCTTTCGCTGCCACCTCGCGCTCAGCCACGGAGCCAGGCTCGGCTGTCGGGACGACGCGGCCCTAATCAGGGGCGTGGGGTCGGCGGCGTTGGACGGCGGGGAGCGGAGCGCCGGAGGCGGGGAGAGGGAAGGAGGGGGGGAGTGGGATTCAGGACGGGGGGGGGGGGGGGCGGACCGTCACGGCCGCAGCACCCGCCACCGGAGCCGTCGTCGGCACGGCGACTCCCTTCCACGACGGCTCTTTGTCGAGGGAAGCCAGCCAGGCAGCCTTGGCCTTCTCCTCGTCGGACGGCTCGTGCGCCGGTGGGGGCACCGCGGAGCCCACCTGCGCCGGTGCGTGCACCACCACTGGAGCCGTCGGCGCGCCCAACCCGCGGCCCTTCCAAGACGGCTGAGAGTCCAGGCTAGCGAGCCACTTGGCCTACGCTTGGCCAGAGGCGGGGTGAAAGAGGGTGGGCTGTCGAGGCGTTCGAGGAGGGAGGGGGGAGGCCTTGGCAGCCGCCTCACTGGTGCTCGCCGGCGCGGCAACGCCGGCGGCGGCCGACGCAGGCACGCCGACCACCGAGCTGCCTCCCCTCCACGACGGCTCCTTGTCTAGGGAAGCCAGCCAGGCAGCCTTGGCCTTCTCCTCGTCGGACGGCTCGTGCGCCGGTGGGGGCACCGCGGAGCCCACCTGCGCCGGTGCGGCCGCGGCCGCTCCCATCCACGATGGCTCGCGGTCGAGCGACGCCAGCCACGCAGTTTTGGCCGCCGCCTCGCTCGTCGCCGCCGCCGCCGTCGCGGGTGCCGCTGGCGCCGGCTGCGGCGCCGCGAGGCCGTCGCCCTTCCACGACGGCTCCGTGTCGAGGGAGGCCAGCCAGGCGGCCTTGGCAGCCGCCTCGCCGGCGCTGCTCGCCGGCGCGGAAGGCGCCGCAACCTCGGCGGGGGCAGCCACTGGCGGCGCGGGCGCGGCCGCTCCCTTCCACCCAAGCTTGTCCATGTCGACCGCTGCAAGCCAGGCCGCGCGCGCAGCGTCGTCCGCCACGCGCGCGGGGGCCGCCGGCGCCGCGTCCCTCGTCCCTCCCGCGGAAGGCGTGCGAACTGCCGTGCTTCCCCGAGTGGAAGCGATCCTCGGCACTCGACCGAGTCCAAACTCGGGGACGCCCTGAGTTGCCCAGGTGGCGCGATGGGCCGGGGCCATGACGGGTGGAGCATGGCGGGCAGAGCATGAGGAGGGGAGGAGGTGCCCCTGGAAGAAAGAGAGGGAAAACATGGCTGGCTTCCTGCCCGGGGTGGGGGGCTGGGCTGGGGGGCTGCTCGAGGCGGCAATCCCAGAATTCGAATGGCTTCGATCTCGGGTTTCTTGCAGACTATAGTCGAGCGCGTCGGAGAGGTGTTTCGACACAGAGTGTTTGAACGTTTCTTCGCAGAAGAAACGTCGAGAGAAAAAATCTCTGGCCCTCTGTGAACACCGGCTACTCGGCCTTAGCCGCCGGTACGTCAACAGTGCGATAGCCAAGTATCGCACTGTTGGGTCCCGATGGTGTCCCATCACAAATTCGTGCTGTCGACAGATCATGTCCCTTGGTCGACTGCACCCGCCTTTGGACGGTTCTCCGACATGCTTAGATGAGTCTTTTTGTCTTTTTTGGCTCGCCTGGCCTTCACCAGTGCGAACATATTCTTGCTCGTAGGAGCCGCTCGTCTTTCGTCCGAGCAAACGTGCGCCCGATCGCCCCATTAAGCACGTGCGAAGGGTATCCGAGCGCCGTAAACTCCCTGAGCTTGCTCGTCACGCTGAGTGCGAATCCCTCGTCATCGCTTGCCATCGCGACCACCTTGAGCATCACATCCACCCCACCATTTGTTTCCGATGCGGCGAGTGATTTCCGGTGCGAGAAGGAGTGGCTCATGGCCCATTGGCTCATGGCCCATGTAGTGATAGAAGCCATAGGCATTATCTGAATTGCTCATGCGAGCTCTCGTCCAGCACTTGTTGAAGTTGGTAGCATAGGCCGCTACCTCATTCCGCTGCTGTAAGATGTACTCGACCATCATCTTGTAGCTCGATCGGTCACACCGCCATCGCCGTCGGGGAGAGGGGGGACGACACTGCTTCGGCAGCGTGCACCTCGATCCTGTACCGTGTTTGTTATGACCCCCCCCAATGAACATACCAGTGAGGGAGGGCGAGACGATCGAGGGGTCCCGTACCACGCGGAATCGGCCCTATCCAGTGCTCAAGTGCTCAACACCGTGACCGCCCGCCGTAATTGCAGGGTGCCAGTGCGCGCGGGGTCGGAATTCTCTTTTTCTAGTGTGCGCCAGTCCACGCCCTTGTCGTGCCAGTGTGCTGTGCGAGAGGCTTGTATTTTGGAGCACTAAGGTCTAAGCATTTGCTCATATGCGTTTCCGGGTGGTTCCGATTCGTTTCCGATTGGCGTTTCCACCGCCCCCCCCCCCTGACGAAATTCTTGCGCTCACTCTTTTACATACATAAAACTGACACACGCCAAACGAGGGGTGTGGGATGAAGGACAGGGTCCCCACCTGCACGAGCAGGATCTTGTAAGCCAAGCTGCAGAACATGTGCGAGCCAGCGCCTACGCCGCTCAAGGAGTCAGGCGCGGAGCGCCGCGCGCGGAGCGCGCCCCGAAGAAAATTTTGAGGGTTGTGGAGGGCTAGATGCGGTTTCTATTAAGAGTTGACTCACACGCTAGGAAGCACTCGGCCCACCCACAGGCCCAATCTCAAGTGGCGGCGCTCCGCGCCTGTGCAGCGGCGCGCTCCGCGCGTGTTCTGCAGCGGCGCGCTCCGCGCGTGTCTCTGGGCGCTACATGCGGCCGTCGCCGTGCCCTTCATCAACCGTGCGCTCGAGAACTGGGGCGGTCTCAACTGGGAAGACCGCTTTCACCACAACGACAGGTCACATGCACAGAGGGGCGGCATTGGAGCTTCGCTGCAGCGGGGTGTGGTCATGACGCGGAAGAAGGCAGCGCGCTCGTCGTAATGTCGACGGGGCGCGCATGTCAGCGAGAGAGTTGCGGACTTTTCGAAGACGAGCCCCGCGCCACGGTTGCCAGCCGTGCCTTCGCGGGAGTCGCCCCTCGAGCCGCGTCCCGTCGGCACTGTCCCTGAGTGCGTCCCGCCTTGGCGGCACACACTCGACGAGGACAGTCCGGCCGACGGGAACGTGTCGCGCGCCGGCGACGGTTGCGGCGGGGTGTGTGTGTGTACGAAGCGCCGATGGCACGACCACCGCCCTGCATCGAAGGCCGGGCAAGGAGGGGCCTGCTCGCGTTTCGCGGAACAGGAGATCTTTCCCCCTCCCCCGGCCTGAGCAGCGACGGGTGGAAGGCAGCCCCTGAGCGAGGGCGGCGGGCGACCATTGCCGAGCTCCAATGACCAAAGGCCCGGGCGTCTGCTGATGGTCGCACCGCCCCGTGCGGCGCCGCCGCTCGATGGGCACTCCCCCGGCGAGAAGGTCAAAAAAGAACAAAAGAGCGCTGCGAACACGTCCCGCGAACACGGCTCGCTCAGACCCGCTGAAACTCGTTGCGGCCAGAAACTCCATGGCAACCGCATGCACCGGCGTGGTCGGCGACTACAACTGCCCGCAGCAGGTGGGGAATCGAGTGCACGTGCTGCTCAACGCCGAGCTCTGCGCGCGCGCCTACGGCGTGCCTCTCCTCTGGCACCCAAACATCGAGAATGGCCTGGTGCGCTGTCGGACACACTCTCGCACACGCGGGCGCGCCTTCCCTCTCGCTAGCTCCGCCACCGCCAACGATGCCACCGCCCCGATCCGTCCAGTTCGAGTGCGACCGGTTCCTCACGCGCTCGCCGTCCGTCCGGAGGGCGGACGCACTGCCTCCGTCGTGCAGCCGCGCCGAGTGGGCCTACCCCTTCAGCAAGTGGCCAAACTGGCGCAACCACGTCCCCGAGATTGAGAGGGCACTCCGGCAGCACGACTGGCAGCCCGCGCCCAACGCGAGTGCCTACGTCTTTTGCGGCCGGATGGAGCGGCCTGTGATGTCGGCCGCGCTCGCAGACTCGCCGCGCGCGCCCGAGCCGATCCGCGGGCGGCTGCGCCACATCTTTTCCAACGGCGCTAGACACGCAGCAGCCGCGGCCGGCTCTCTCCCTTCGAAGCCCTTTCCTTGCAGCCGCCCCCCCGGCCTCTGCCATAGGCAGCGCGTACGCGTACGGCGGCGCGTTCCACCGGCTCTTCACGTTTGCGCGCGCGGCCGACCGGCGGCGAGCGCAGCAGCGCGTCGACCTTGGTATCCATGCCCGCATCAACTTGGGCAGCGTGCGCTCCGGCGGGAGGCCGCGGCAGGCGATCTTTAGCCGACGGTAGCCGAGACTCGTCTAGCCGAGAGGCTGCGGCAGCGCGGCGTATCACCGCGTGGGTTGGCGCTCTCGCTCTGCCGCAGACCTCTGCGTCACTCGGCGCCGTCGTGTGGTGCAGGCGCAGCTGCTGCAAAACATCGAGGACTTGGCGCTCTCCAAGCTGCCCGCCGACACGCCGTGCCGCGCCTTTGTGGCGAGCGACCACGTCGAGGCGCGACACTCCCCAGACCCCTCCTCGACCCTCCCCAGACCCCTCCTCGACACTCCCTAGACCCCTCCTCGACACTCCCCAGGCCCCTCCTCGACACTCCCCAGACCCCTCCTCGACACTCCCGAGACCCCTCCTCTCACACTCCCCAGACCCCTCCTCTCACACTCCCCAGACCCCTCCTCTCACACTCCCCAGACCCCTCCTCTCACACTCCCCAGACCCCTCCTCGACACTCCCTAGACCCCTCCTCGACACTCCCTAGACCCCTCCTCGACACTCCCCAGGCCCCTCCTCGACACTCCCCAGACCCCTCCTCGACACTCCCGAGACCCCTCCTCTCACACTCCCCAGACCCCTCCTCTCACACTCCCCAGACCCCTCCTCTCACACTCCCCAGACCCCTCCTCTCACACTCCCCAGACCCCTCCTCGACACTCCCTAGACCCCTCCTCGACGCTCCCCAGACCCCTCCTCTCACACTCCCCAGACCCCTCCTCTCACACTCCCCAGACCCCTCCTCTCACACTCCCCAGGCCCCTCCTCGACACTCCCCAGGCCCCTCCTCGACACTCCCGAGACCCCTCCTCTCACACTCCCCAGACCCCTCCTCGACACTCCCCAGGCCCCTCCTCGACACTCCCTAGACCCCTCCTCGACGCTCCCGAGACCCCTCCTCGACGCTCCCTAGACGATTCGAGGCGCCGCCGCACGCACACACAGCTCCGTAAGACGCACACCGTGCGAGAGAGAGACTTCCGACACGATGCCCACCCCCTCCGAGACGCCACCACGTCCGGGGCCGGCCAGCGGAGCAGCCACAAGAGCCCGTCTCCCTCTCTACCGGCTTGGCGCCTCACCCCTCCCCTCCCTCCCGCAGGTTGCACTGCGGCACCTCTCGCGACTGAGTGCGCCGCTGCCGAGTCAAGAGGGCCTCGAGATCGCCCGAGATCAGCCGAGGTCAGCCGAGGTTAGGCGCGCGCTGCCAGGTGAAGACGCTGCAGCGGCGCGAGGATGTCGAGGAGAGGAGATCGATCGATGCAGGGCACGGCCGGTGCCCCCCCCCCCCCAGCCCAGGACGTGGAAGGGGCCGACTTCCTTTGCGCCAAATCCCCTTGCGCCATCGCCCCCTGAGCAGTCCCTGCAAGTGGAGCCAACCCTTCACGCTCGGCGGCGGTCAGGTACCAAAACTCCTTCATCTCGGAGCTGGCGCACATGAGCGGCGCCTCCGCCCGGGGGGCGAGATCGCGCGAGATCGCACGAGCTTACCCGAGGGCCGACGGGCGCGTAGGCGCAAAGCTGATGGTGGGGACGCACGGCTCGTCGGCGAGCGAGCTGATGGCGGCGCTCGCGGCGCACGGTGGGGGCGCCGTGTGGCTGTGCCACGGCCGCAAAAGGGGCGAGTGCAGCGATCGCTGGGAGGAGCTTGGGGCGTAGGCCCGCTGAGTCGGGCCGAAGGCAAAAAGCGCACGAGAGTTGCTAGAGCCGTAGCTCACACTCTCGCTTTTCGCTACTCTTGTTGTCCTCTTTAACCGCAAAGAAACACGATACGATCCGACTTGAGAATGATGCAGTGACTTGCCACACATATTCATATATAATCAGAATCACACAAAAATCACAATGCACAAAATCAAAAAACGCGCACATGTGAGGATGTCGGGTGAAAACTGTCACACATATATTTCCCATGCACATGACCGTGACACGTCGCGACGCAGCGCCCCCGGTCCGCAGAGCTTTGTTTCAGCGCCAGGGACGACGCGTCGGCGCCCGATCAGGAACTCGGTTTAATCCGAGGTGAAAGAGAATCGGATGCTCGAGCGCATGCCCGTACCCGAGCAAACAGGGTCGCCGGCGCGCATGAGGGAGCAGAATTCGTCGTAGTCGACCTTGCCGTCGTTGTTGGTGTCCACCTCCTCGAAGATCCCCTAACGCAGCAACCCGGCAGGAGCTCTCAAGTCGCGCAGCCGTTTCGGGCCGTAGAGGGGGGGGGCGGAGCGCCCAAATCTATAGTGACTGTGCGCCAGAGCGGGCCTCGGGCGCGCCTGCAGCCCGGCCTCGTTGAGCCCCCTCTCGTTCAGGGCTGCCTTGATCTCCTCGCGCGAGAGGAAGCCAGAGCCTAACAGCCGGCAGAGTTCGCCGAGGGTCCGCGCGACACGCGGCACGAGGTGTGGACCACTAGGGCATGCGGCGCGCCGTCGACGTCGAACTTGTCAAAGGTGTCGCGCAGCTTCTCCTCCTTGTACAACTTGCTCGTGTGCACCTGGGGTCGTCGGGTGTTCGCGGCCGGGTGATCTCCGGCCTCGGGGGATCTCGGGGGATCTCACACTCGTGCTGGTTGCTTGCTCGGACGCCCCGTGTCACAGATTGCCCTCCCCCGTACGGTACAGATTGCCCTACCCGCGCGGCGCCGAGGTGTGGCCGAGGTTTGTGGCCGAAGGACAACGAGGTCGAGTACAGTCGAGGTGCTGCAGCGCAGAAGAGCTGTCCGCACCGTCGCGGCGATGAACTCCTCCAAGTCCAGGTTGCCGCTGCCGTCGACGTCGGCCTCGTTGAGGAGCGCGTTGAGCTTCTCCACGCTTGCGAGGATTGAGCTCTCCTCGCCGATCCCAGCGTAGCCGGGCTTCTGCATGATGTCTCGCAACTCGAGGACGGAGATGGTGCCGTCGTCATTGACGTCCGCCGCGCTGAAGAGCTCGCGCAAGCCGGCGACCTCCTCCGGCGCCATGCTGGCCGCCATCATCCGAATGGCCTAGGGCGAGCAGCGAGGTCGCCTCCCTCACGTCGCCACGTCGTGAGACAGGGGCTGCCCCCCGTGGCAGAGTGCCTTAAGGTGTGTGTGTGTGTATGTGTGTGCGTGCGTGCGTGTGGTGGCCTCCCGCTTCAGCTTGTTGAGCGCGACGAACTTCCTGATGCGGTCTCCCACCGCGGAGCCTGTGCCGGAGGTGCAGGGGTGAGCCCCTTCACCCCCCCCCCCCCCTTCCCCCACCACCACCCAGAAAGACACCCCCCCAAAGCCACCCCATCGCCCCTTCGCGCCCGCCACCCCCCCCCTCGCATGCCCACTACACGCACACCGAGCGGCTTGTCGGAGGCGACGCCGTTGCGCTGCATCCACCGGTCGGTAAGGATCTCGTCGGCGGTGGCACGGTCGGAGGGGCTGTGCTTGAGCATCCGGCGGACGCACGCCTTGGCCTCCTCGGAGATGTCGGGCCACGGCTCGTAGTCGAACGAGGGAGGCTGCCCGGCCTTGATCCGCTCAAACACCTTTGGCGACGCGTGTTTGTGTGTGGAGCGACCCGCGCCGGCGTCAGCGCTCAGCGGGTGCTGGAGCGACGCGTCGTGGAGGCGTGGACGCGTCTACCCCCCTTGTCGCGGGACCTAGCCGAGGGAGAGCACGCGCCTTCTCGTCGGTCGAGCCGTGGTAGGGCGGCGCCCCGCACAGCAGAATGTAAAGGATGACGCCGCACGACCTGTGCAGGCGAAGGCGAGAACGGGAGGCAAGCCAGTGAGGCTGGCAGGAGGGGGTGGGTCGGCCGAGGCGGAGGGGCAGGGGCAGTGCTCGAGAGGGGGCTGGGAGAGGGGAGGCGAGAGATAATATGAGGTGTAGTTAAGGGTCCTCGGCCGCGCCCTATTTCGGCCTCCTTGGAGTAACTCTTCTTCAGCACCTGCCGTAGTTAATTAATTAATTAATTAATTAATTAAGCCTCCTTGGAGTAGCTCTTCTTGAGCACCTGCCGCAAGAGAGAGAGAGGGGGGGGGAGGATGCGGGCGAGAGAGGAACACCCGCGGCGGCTCTGAGAGATTGACGTGAGGCTAGCACCTCGGTGTGCTACCACTACTACTTACTACCAACTACTACCACTAGCACTACTACTACCACGACTACTACTACTACTACTACCACTACTACTACTACCACTACTACTACTACCACTACTACTACCACTACTACCACTACCACTACTACCACTATACTACTACCACTACTACCACTACTACTACTACTACTACTACTACTACTACTACCTCCGTTGCTGCTCTCTTCTCCTACTCCCACGAACCTCCGGTGCGACGTAGAAGGCGGAGCCCACCATTTCGGTCAGCGGCTCGCCCTGGCGGAAGTAGGAGGACAGGCCAAAGTCCGTCGCCTGTTGTGTGTGTGTGTGGGGGGGGGTGTCTTAGAGGAGCGGAGGGAGAGACGGACTACTCGCGAGGCGGGCGGTGGGCGGTTGTGGTGGCGAGGGCGACGGCTGAGGGGGGGGGGATGCTTTTGCGGTGTTCACTGTTCTTCTCCGAGGTCTGTGAACGGGCTGGTCAAAAGGGGGGCGGTGGCGCGACGACGCCGGGCAGTCTTGGGCGTGGATAGGGGTCCGATCTTGGGATTGAGGTTGCTTACTGGTTGCTTACTGCTGCTACGGTGGGCCGTCTCACGCCTTGATGCGAGCCGCCGGCGAGCTGTTCTCGAAGAGGAAGTTCTCCGGCTTGAGGTCGCGGTGCACCTGTTCACAGCATGGCGCCGTGTGAAGAGCCGCGTTTGTGTGGCGAGGGCGAGCGGCTCGCCCTCTCGCCACAAGAGTCGCCACAAGGGAGGTGCTCGAGAGGGGCGAGACGCGCCACGTCGAGCTACTCTCTCCCGGCACCCGGCTACTCTCTCCCGGCTACTCTCCCCCGGCTGACATCCCGGCGCGGCATCTCGGCGCGGAGTCTCAGCGGCATCTCGGCTACATCGCGCCACGCCGAGCGAGTGGCAGTGCGCCACGACCTAGGGGGAGGGGGGGAGGGGGGGCAGGGCGTCCGTGACTTGCACACCGCGCTCGCTAAAGGGCAAAGATGCCCCCCCCCCCCCTTCCCGCGTCTCCATATTATCTCCCGATCACGAGATTTGCAGGAGGCAGGCCCCGCGGCATTGAAAGTGCAGCAGCCGGCCCGGCGCACGCGGCTCGGAGCACACGCGGAAGAAAGCGGGAGGAGAGGGGAGCAGTGGGAGTGTGCAGTCAGAGACGCACGACCTCGACGATGTCGCGGATGGTGGCCGCCGCGTCAGCCTCGGAGTAGATTCCCTTGGAGAGGATGCGGTCGAAGAGCTCGCCGCCGCTGCACTCCTGGCCGAGGTGAGGCGCGCGCGATAAGGATTTTGCTCGCCTTCCCTGGGACGCCCCGTGTTCTGACTGTCTCTGTGTCTTGCGATTTCGGGCCCGGGGCTTTTGCGTGAGAAGGAGCGAAGGTAGGGCTCCGTGGGTGAGGGCGAAGTTAGCGTGGTGCGCGCAGGTTGGCGGTACTCGTGTGAGGGAAATCGGAGAGGGGCGGAGGGCTCTTTTGCCTCGAGGATGAGGTGTACGTGCTTGCGATCCTCGACCGCCTCGACGATGTTCACGATGCCCGAGTGGCCGCCCAAATGGTGCTGAATCTCCACCTCGCGCTTGATCATCTCGCGCTCCGCTTTGGTGCGCAGCCGACGCTTGGCGATACTTTTGCAAGCGAACGACTCATCCGTCTTCGCGCACGTCGCCTTCCGCACCACCCCAAAGGTGCCCTTGCCAAGCTCGACGCCGAGGTTGTAGTCGATTGTCACGTCGTGGAAGCCCTTGCCGAGGATGCCCCGGGGGCCCTTTTCGGTGCTGTTGTATGGCCGATCGGAGGTGGCGCCGCCGTCTCCGCCGGTCCTTGAACCGCAAGCGCCCATAAATCCGTGTACAAAAGAGCGGCGGCCGCCTTCTCTTCGTCTAGGAGACAGCTGAGGGCCGCCGCGAGCAACGGAGCTGAAACTCGCTCGCGCTCAGCGCGTGCTTTGTTTGGCGAGCGACAAGGCGCCGCCTTTCGATGCCCTTCTTCACATAAACGCACAACCCCGGGCCCCGAAATCGCACAGTGACAGTCAGACATGCAACACGGGGTCCCAGGGAAGGCAAGCAAAAACCTTATCGCGCGCGCTATACGCCGACTCGGAGGCCGCGCCGGTCATGCGCGCAGCCGGAGAGAGGGAGGCGCTCAATGCCCTTCTTCACAGGCTTTGCTAATCAGTGGTTGAGGTGCGAGCGCGGGAGGCCCTGGGGATGGGGGGAGACTACCCGCAGGCCTAGAAGGCCCGTGCGCACAGGGGTGGGGCATGAATTAGTGCTCTGCATCCGGCGCGGGACGAACTGCCTGCGTTGTAGAGCGATGTAGAGGCGCTCTACAACGTGTCTCTACTACAACAATGTGACCGGGATTCAACCTACCCTACCGGCCACGGGAAAAAAACGCCGCGTGGCGCTTGCCCGGGGGCATCAGTGGAACACGCCGTTAGCGCCCACATCAGTCACCCGCCTAGCCGCCAAACGCCCCACAACGCACACGACTGCGATGGAATCCGCATCCTTCAAAGATCTCCTCGTCGTCAAGACCGGGGTGAAGGTCTGGTCGACCGTCGCCGCGACTCTCTTCTCACTACTCCTCGCCGCCGGTCTCGTCGAGTCGCACATCCGTCCATCAGCTCTGTTGCCTACCGCGCTCGTCGGCCTCTACGCAGTCTACTCGGAGCGGCAGGACGTCCTCGGCGCCGCCACATTCCTTCTCTGGTGGTCGTACATCTCAGACGCTCTTTGGTTCGCGATTGGCCCGCTCGGCCTCGACGCGGCGTCCGTCGCAACCATATTCGATGACTGCGCGGCGGCGGCTGCCAACGCCTCCGCCTCCGCCCTCGCCTCCGTCCCTCCGTGGACGGGAAACGGGTCGGCGGCGGCGGGCGGGCGGTCCGACAAGCGGTCTGTCCAACTCGGTGGGCTGACAGTGGCGTCTCCAGACGGTAGAGATTGCCACGTTGCGGTGCAAGGAGGCGTGAAGCGCGTCTCTTCACAGGCGGCACTCCTGCGTGTCCTCCAGGCGACTCGCTCCTCTGCGTGGCTCGCGAGGCGCCGTCTGGCCTGTCGATGAGCGGCGATCACAATACCAACCAGCATAAAATCGTGCAACAATCATAGGCGGTGTCTGGCATGTCGCTCAGTGGGTGGTATGGCGTCTGCTTCTTCCTCCTCACCACGGCACCGCGCGAGCTCTCTCTCCTCTCTCTCTCTCCTCACACACACACACACACACACACACACACACACGTCTCTCGCTCCTCTCTCTCCTTCTCCTCTCTCTCTTCTCCCCCCCCCCCCCCAGCAGGCCGGCCCCTATGGGCGCGGCAGGGCAGGCGTCTCTCCTCACACACGGTCTCGTGCGCGAGCAGGCGCTGCTCAAGTTCGTCTCCCTCCTCCTCCTCCCGCACTTCGCCGCCGCCATCCGGGCCCGCCGCCGCATCACCGGCCTCGACAGCTCCTCGCTTTAGAGCCCCCCGTCCGCGCGGCCGCTCTTCACGCCTCCGGCTGTGAGCAGGCCTCAGCACGCTATCGGAGAGCCTCTCTCCGATGGCGGGTGGCCCCGCGGCCCTCGCCGCTTGGGCAGGGCACACGGCGGCCTCCGCCCTCGCCCCTCCACCGACGCAGAGGCGCGACGCCCGCCGACTGTGAGCAGGCGTGTGGCGGTGGCGGTGCTCGCCGCCGCCGCGCTGACAGTCGTGCTGCGGGGCGGCGCCGACCCGTCGCCGCTCGCCGCCGTGCTCGTCCTCTGTGGATCGCTCGAGCAGCGGGTGCTCGTCGTGGCGCTATCCCACCCCCCTCTGCCGACCTCTGTTCGTCGTCGACGCTCGGACTGTTGATCAGGTCGACATGCTCGTCGCCGCGCTCGTCTACCTCTGCCTCTTCGCCCTCCTCGATTTGCGCTGGATGGAGACCGAGGCGTCCGTTGGCGAGAGGGCGGCGGCGCGCAGCTGGAGTGGACCCTTTCCAATCGGAGTCCAGTCGCCGCCTAGGCCTCCTTTGGTGCGATGGGGAGCCAGCTGGCAAACGAAGAGCCGGTGCAGCTGCCGCCAAACACCACGCTCGCAGCGGCGTGTGTGGTGCTCGCGCGAGGGCGCTTCGCGCGGCGGTCGGTGAGCGGCGCTGTCATCACGCTGCGGTGTGAGCAGGTGCTCCTGGCCGCGATCCTCAAGCTGCTTCTTGCCGGCTTGGTGGGGCGGGCTGCTGCCGGGGAGGCCCACGCCGGGCATCCTCTTCAGGACAGGCTTCTGTGACCAGGTGGGGCGGCTGCTGTGGGTGAAGCCAACTTGGGGCAGCGCCGGCGAGAGCAGCATGCCTCCCTGGCTGCGGCTGGGCGACATCGAGGAGGAGGACGAGGAGGAGGAGGGGTCCGAGGACCCTTTTGCCCAGGATGGCGCTGGATCGTCCGGCGGTGGCGGAGGAGGAGGGGGCGGCGGCGGCGGCATAGCCGCTTCCTCGCTCCGCACGCACGCGGTGGTGCTCAACAACGAGCACATCTTGCGGCACGCGACGCGGCACGAGGCCTTTTGGGCGGCGGTCGGTGCACGCCTCTCCCTCCTCCTCCTCCTCGCATCGCTCGTCTCGGCGCACGCGCGGCTCGACGCGACGCCCCTCGTGGGCGCATGGCTGGCCTACGTCTGCCGGCTGCACGAGTCGAAACACTTGCGCCCGACCTCGCACCTCAAGAAGGCGGCGCACGCCGCGGCGCTCGGCCTGCTCTCCGGCTCGCTGCTGCTCGATGCCGCGTGGGTCGTCGAGGCGGCGCGCACGCCGCTCGGCGCCGCGGCGGTGGACGCGCTGCACGGCGACGGCGCCGCCACCTCCGCACTCCCTCTCGGGCAACCGGCGGTGCTGCTCCAGCCGAGGGGTGGGCGTGCCTCGCGCGACCTCGGCCCCTTGCCTGCGAGATAGGCAGCGGGCTGTGCTCCTCTCGATCGGCGCCTCGGCGGCCATCAAGGTCTGCCTCGTCCCTGTCATGCTCAAGGCGCAGCACGGCGCGGCCGCGGGGCTGCGACTGCGCGGCCCTCTCACTACGGGTGGGTTGCGCGAGCAGGTGTACGGCGCGGTGCGTCTCGAGGCGATGGCGCACGTGCTCTGGCAGAGGCGGATGGAGGAGGAGGCGGCGCAACGCTGCCAGCTCGCCCTCGCCATCACCTTTTTCGCCGCGCTCGCCTCGTCGGCCCGATTGCGTCTCGACCGCCCTTCGCCTCTTCCGACCCTCGCTCCTGCATTGTTGTCCCGGAACCTTCCCGCAGGTCTCGCATGTCTCGCCCGCCCTCGCCGCCGCAGCTCTCGCCGCGTGGGCGGTCGGGCGCGGCCGCAGTTCCTCCTCGCCGCTCTGGCTCGCCGCTGCGGCGCCCCCGCCCCGCCGCCCAGCCATGAGTCGGACGCCTCTCTCTCCACACAAAAGCACACAGTCCCGGGCCCGAAATCGCACGGCAGCCGAGTGACAGTCAGACACTCCTCTCTTCACGCGCCGCGCCGTCCACAGGCGCTCGCCGCGTGCCCCGCACTCGAGCTCGCTTGGCTGCTGCTCGCGCACGGCCTCACCGTCAAGGGGCTGCTCGCGCTTCTGCACGAGACACCGACGGCGCTGCAGCGCGGCGGCAGCTTGCCCGACCTCTCTCTCCTCCCGCCGGTCGCGGTGTCGCTGCTCTGCCTCCTCTCCGGCGGGCTGCTGCTGCTCTTCAAGGCCACTCGCAATCAGTCGTAGTTATTAGCCACTCTCCTCGGCTAATCACTCTCCTCGGCCGCTCTGCGCATCAAGGCCGAGAGACGAGACACGTCGCATCGAGATCTGCCGTCGAGAGATGCCGCCGAGACACCGCCGAGAGACGCCCCCCCTCCCCCGCGTGGTCTCTCCCTCTCCTCAGGTCACCGTCGTGCCGATCGACGAGCCGCCGCCGAGCCGTTTGACCGCCGCCTTCTTGCTCCTCTCGCGGCTGCTGCTCCTCCTCTCCCTCGCCGCCTCCGCCGCCTCCTCCTTCGTGCCAGCGCTCCCGATCGCCGTGCTCGCCCTCATTCTCTCCTCCTTCCGCGAGACTTCGCGCGGCGGCGGCGGCGGCGGCGGCGGAGGCGGCGGTGAGGGCGGCGAAGCCCCCCTTTTCCTGCTTTTCCTCCCCCTCGCCGCGGCCACCTTCCTCGCCCAGACCGCGTGGCTGCTGTGGCGCGGCCCGCCTCTCGACACGGTGAACCACCTGCCGCGAGGCCCCCCGCCGCCCTTCTCTCTTCCCTCTCTCGCCCCCCTTCTCTCTCGGCGGCGGCGCCTGCGTTTGTTTGCTTGTGTTTGTGCTCCGTTTCGGTCCTCGTTCGGTTGCTTTGACTTTTTTTGTGCTTTGTGCCCTTCCCCCCCTCCCCTTTTT